GGAACCTTGCAGAATCTTGCAGAGTTGCAGCCTGCGAAGGCCGAAGATGAAGCAGACCAGCCCGCGCTGCGCTCGGCTTTCGGCTTGCATAGAAGAAGCAGCAGAGTCTTATGAGGAGTTGCTTGGGAGCATCAACCTATTAGTAATTCTTTTGAAAGCAAGGACACTGATGGCGCAGGTTTAACCAGACCGCTGGACGCCCAATGTCAAGATGATCACCTTTCCTTTCGCTTGATTGCTCGCGGAGCTTGACTTCTTGCGATTGGTGTCCATGTGGTCTCATGGCAAACGGTCAAGGTGGCACTGCTTCGGGTGTAGAGCTCAGAAAGCTTGTCATGTTTCTCCACGATCTGGACCTTCAGTTGCGCCCAGAAATTCTGTGGTAGGTCGAGAGAGCACAAGATTGGGTGCAGAGAAGTTACGCATGTGGAATTTAATAAGATGGAGGGTGGAAAAGAGGTTCCTGTCATGCTGAAATCACACCTGCAGCATAAATGAGCCAACCTCACTCTCGTATCCAAGCACAACAGCGGGCCATCATATTCCTTCGGATCACAACTCGAAAGAGAGAGTGTCTGAGGACTGGGGCTGCGCATGTGTCAAAAGTATTCACTAGCCGCAAGGAGTGCCTTGGTGTTGTGTGCTGCTGTGACGTTATTACTAGTGACTAGTGCTCCCTACCCCTTGGCTACGCATGGCTCTACCGCTACAAATTCAAGCTATGGCTACCAAAGGTTTCAACAGGAAGCCGGCTGAACGAGTCCGCTCAGGCCGTTCATGCAAGCCAAGTCCGAAAGCAGCCAGCGTCGTCAATGGCTGAGAATAATTCATGTGCGCAGAATTCCGCAACATAGCTTTGACCACAGGTCTAGCGAACAGGGCTATGTTAGGGGCTGCGCCCTTACTTGTGGCTGCTGTCATTTTTCTGGTGCTCGCGTTGCACTTCATGTATGGTCAGGTTTGCCTTTGCGGGGTTGGAGGCTGCACTCAGCGAGCTGTGACAAACGAAGCCGCTGCCTTGGGCAGTACTCCGCTGAAAGGTCTGACAAATCCCACCTCAACTTGACCCACACAGGGTGATGCCATGCCTATGAAGGTGTCTGAAGCTCTGCGTTGAGTTATGGCACAGATTTGATAGACTCCCGCCACCACTCTGGTTGCGCGGTGGGTCAGGCAGTTCTTGCGCGCCTTCCGCAGCCGTTTGACATTACGGTAGTTGGCTCGAACCTGAGGAGCTCTGAACCCCAACTTCGAATAGCTAGAAGTGGAAATCGGCACGTGCAAAGCAGAGAAGGCTTTCGCAACACTGTATGTTCACAAGTCATGGAAGAAAGTCGGGCATTGAATACTGCACTGAAGCGCAATTAGCTGCTGCAGCGGATCTGATGGGCATGCTTCTGAAGATTGTTTTGACCTATATTTGCAAGATTGCCGCTTTTAACTCCAGATAGCTTGCGCATGTCGACTATCTCAAGGAGGTTCTCAAGCATGTGGGTATATGTGGGTTGCTATTAAGCAATCACGCGGGGATTGCTCATTCCGCGTGTCACTCGTGAACCGCTTAGGACCGTTGATAAATCTCGCACATAGCGAATTACTCTGATTGGAACAAAGGCCACCGCATCTATGTACTACATTGAAAGTTTAAGTCTAAGTATTCCATGCAGTTGCAATGTCCAAACTACTGCATGGGCTTGATCGTATGCAGCTGACTGGAGCTGAAATCTCAAAACTGAATGCATTTCAATTCAAATCATACGCCTGCGGCGCGTGCTCGGAAAGCCTCCTAGATTTCTAGACCTGTCCTGGCGAATTTGAACACCTTGGTGAAACATGGGAAAAACAAATATTGCAACTTCTTGTAACACCCTGTCATCATCAAGCTCTGGCCTGTCGAGCGAAGTATTGCATCTCGCTATTCAAGGGCTTCATCCTTTCTGGTGTCGTGAATGGGTGCAAGATGCCCTTCCATAAGGTATGAGTCGGTTACTGGCAGCATCTGGCAGATCTGGCAGCCAAGGTTGGATGCGGCATGTTTCCAGCCCACTTGCTTGGGTCCCAGTTTGTTGAGAGGAGAATATGCTTGCAGGCTGGAACCTTTGTCAGTCAGGAACTCCGGGGCCTGGCGTTGCGCAGTTTTGCCTGCAGACTCCGATGGTGAGGCCATATCTCGTGAGCTGACCCCAAAATGATGGAGCAGACTCAAGAACCTTTGTGTCCAGAAGTGTCCAGAACCAAGACGAGCCTGTATGGGAAGAGAAAAGGAAGTAGAGCAAGCCTGAAACTGCTCACTGCTGCCCACTGGATGAACTCAATTGCGATGTCGCCTGCAAACGCCTCCAAACTTTGGCCGAGCAAGAAACAGCAAGGAAGTCCTCTGTCCAACAGGGGTTGCCATACAGCCATGAAAGTCACACCCCTCCCTGCGGAGATTGCGATCAAGACATCAAACATCATGGAACTGCCACGCTAACAGCAGAAACGCACACTAAGCAACCTCACAACAGCTAGGACAATTATTGTGGGGGCTGAATGGGCTGCCTCAGCCAAGATGGCGTTCAGGAATTGTGATCGCTTCGGGGCTTGAGAGACCTTGGTCCTTGTCCCGCTTCTGCTCAAGACCTTCTTGCAGGTAGACTCTCGCGCGGCACCTGTTAGCCACGTCCTGAGGATTGAAAGGTGGCGTAAGACTCACAATCCGGAGTGGTATCATGCGCAGCACTGAGGTTCAGGCGGCGACTCTGTTGAAAGGTTGACGCCGCTCCTTGACTTTACATGCTGCAGTTTTCAGGGCAAGCGTATATATTGAAATGGAACGCTCAGGGGGCCAGGGAGTAGTGTAGAATTGGGCAGATGAGGGTATTTGGTGCTAATTGTAAAAGTGGTTATCGCAACTTAATTTCGGGTACTCGAACGTATGAGTCCAGCGAACGACCGGCGGAGCATAGCTTGATCGAAAGGTATGGCTGCATGGATGCCTCCTCCAATGCTCTCACGGCGGCACTTGCAGACAAAATGAAATTTGTCTTCGGACCATGGCTGCCCCAGCATGCGCCAACCAGCATGTACGCTCTCTGAGTGCTTCATCCCGTGGGACTAAAAGAAGGCTGGCCGAGGCACCCACCTCGGTTCCAAGCAGCCAGAGGCAATATGTGCCATCCACGCTCATTTCCACCCGTCGCGGTTGCATCATCATCTTTAAACGGCGGGCAAGCGGCTTGTGTGAAATTTGACGATCCTGTCGAAGTCAGGCGTCCTCTGTCGCTTCCAGCCTGTCCAGTCTCCGCCGCTTGATGAGAGCGCCTTGAGGGCCTGGAATGTTTGAATCTTACAACTTTGGATGTAAAGCTCCTGGAACAGCGTGGAAGTTATTCTTCAAAAGATGTACCATCTTGCAACGGTTATGAGCGGCCACATTGGGGAGACCTGGAAGCTTCTGAGGTGATCAAGCGGGGATTATAAAATGAGGGGCATGCGGGATTTGCTTGATTTCCTGGTTTGTGACAGCTTTTATATTGTTTCTACGAAGGCAAGCATATCAACAACTCTACTAGTAATCTGTGCTAGATATGGTTTATGTGCACAAGGCTTATATCAAGGAATTTATGTAAACCAGCCCTATCGGAATTGCTTGACTTACTAGGTTTCTATAGCTCTTGTAAGGCTGTTGTCACAGGAATCTACATGAAGGAGCCCCAAAGCAATCTAGGTGATCAATAAGAGTTGTAATGATGGCTGATGGCATGCTTGTATTCTTTGGGTCTTTATAATAGGACTTCAACAAGTCCCTAGCTAATACAGTAAACAATTTAAGAGGGAAAAACAATGTTGATTACCACGTGCGATCTTTTCAGAAGGAAGGGACCTCGCTCAAAATTACAGGGAAGGACTTATGCCCTGCCCGAAATCAAGCACACTCTGTGCAGTGGGGCAGCCGCACTCGTCCTCCTGCTACACACCAACTTTGAGTCCCCCCAATTGTTGTCTAATTTTCCTGAATCGGACGCTTTCGAAACATAGCCCTCATTTGGCTTCATTTCGAAAAGCGATCTTCCAGGGTTTCAGGTCTCCGGATTTCTGACCCAGCATTAGAGTACCACGAGGAAAGGATAATGTGAATGTGAGCTTCTTTGACCGGTCCTGCATCATCTTCTCAGCATGCTTCAGCACAGTTCAGAGATGCTTGGAGCGAGGAGTGAAGTTGACCGTGCACGGGATACAATCAGCGCGGAGGACTTATCACCTGCGCAAATCACACAGTTCGTAGGAGGCACATAGCACTTGCATGCTCACGTGCCAGCACCAGTCGGCTCATGGCATGTCGGACCGGCGGCCTGCTTTCCAAGGTCACGAGCACCTGCTCACCGTCGCCAGTGCCAGCATCTTGGAAAATCACCATGGTTGAACGGCAGTGTCCAAAACTTTGATGAGTGAAATGCACCTTGCAAGCGGGTGCAATCATCACAAGGATGGACAGGCATCCGTCGCAGCGAAGCGAAACATCATTTCCAGCAGCCTGAAGGCTGGAACCAGCTCTACCGGGACTCTACTTCGGATTGTACTTCGTATACTAGCACTGCACAGACTGCACGCTTGAACAATGCTACCAAGGCTTGCAGCAGGCACTTTGTGTTTTTTAGCCTCGGCAGACACTTTGCAGGTCGGCATTGTGCTTGCACGCTGCGCTAATTCCCGCTGCAATAGGCTCAAGCCTTTTGCCCCAACTATTGCACCTGGGGGTTCTCAGCCGAATCTGGCAGCATGGGCAATCAGCGGCAAGATGCAATTGGTGTAGCAGATTCATACCATGCCATATTTGTCCGCAGCTGTAGCCCTGGAAACATTACCAAGGCAAGGTCGTGTGGTGCGATGCGAGGCGGCAGCCTCGAGATTCAAGATTGCATGTCTTGTCTTTCAACGTGAGCTGACAGGAGCCATCTGCAAAGAGCCACCCGACAGCCTTCCCCGAACATGTGAAGCAAGTGCCCCTGACACCAGAGATGGACAAGGCATGGCTGCTGTATGCCCTGGTGTTCAGCATGCGAACACCTCCATAATGCACATTCTGGGACCAGGAACAGGGCTTCAAGAAGTACAGGAAGTACGATGAGTCGATGGGCCCATTTCCCGAACCTTGGCGCAGAGTAGTGCATGCCCGCATTGCCAACCAGAATGCCCAGCTTTAGCATAACGCCAGGATACCTTCGACTTCGCCAACCAGTTGAAGCTAACAGAGGAACAAGTCAACCAGCCAAATGCTTAAGATGAAGATGCCAGGGCGATGCAGCACCCAACTGTTGGGCACAGACTGTAGGTCCTATGAGCACCAGCTGCCCTTCCACATGAAGGTGGACGGCAATGCAAAGCCAGCATATTCATCGAAGTGGGAGCGAAGCTTGTCTGCACAGCAGCCTCTAGCAGAAGCAGAAGACCCGTAGATCCTAGGCAGGCACAACAGTGTACACTGGGATGCAACTGTACAGGATCTTCCACTGCCTCTGACCCCAGCATACAAGAAGCAACGGAAGACAGATCGGGATAAGACGCGGTAGAAGGGGTTGTGCTTGGCTAGGTAGACACTGGGGGAGTTCAGGAAGATGCTGAATGATGTTGCTTTGAATCACCTCGAGCGCAGGGGTGGGAGGGAAGGTGACTGGGAAAGGGCTTGCACTTTTGGTCGAACGTTCCTTCTCAATTTGGCTGCCAGACATAATCATGGCCAAGCTGGCTCCAGATCTCTCCTTTTAAATCTTTGGGTGGGAAGAATCTTGGGAAGAAAGAAGGAGCGGGTCCAGGTCGCAGCCAGGCCCCAGTCAGATCATCAAAGTGTCGTCAGGTGCCGTGGCCTACCATCATGGACTCTATGTGCCTGAGATGCTTGGACGAAATTGTGTGTGCCTGTGTTCCTGATTCGGGTAACACATGTTCTCAACACATAAAGCATGCGCCAGGAAGTACACGACGACAAAAACAGCTGACGACATTCGACTGGCCGTCGCTGATTATTCTGATAAGGTGCACAAGGCGCAGGGTCCAGACACATGTCAAACAGAAGCCTGAAGCAGATGTCGAGTGTCGCAGTCGTTGGTACACTCACAGCTGGGCGCATGACTTGCGAGCCTGTGCCATGAACAGTCACAAGTGTAATGCCGCATCAAGAGTTGTTCTTCAGTTTGGGCATGGAAGTGGTGAGAAACCAAACTCAAAAAATCGGCTTGATTATGTAAAGGGGGTCCTCACCGGCAGGATTCTCCCAAAGATGCTTGCAAGTACTTGCAGATCGAGGAATTCCGCTGCCTGAATGTTGCTAGGCCGCCTTTTCCGTCTGAAAATCCTGCAGGCGTTGTAAAGCTTCCTGATTTGTGAACTGCATCTGTTCCCCAGGTCTATCAGTATGAAACCCAGCCAGAGGTGGCAGCAAAGAAGTGCATGAAGTGGTGGGACGTCGCTTTGTCATATAAAGTCGGGCACGCTCACTAGCTTCGACTGACAATGCGTTTGAGCACATGAGCCTTTTGCGCCTAGGAGCTTCAGAAGTGCCAGTGGGACCAAGCCAAGCAGCTCGACTTAAGTTAAAGGGCATTGCTTAGCACACTCATACCCGGAAAGCACCGCTTTGCGGGCAGGTCGCAGCTTTATGAGGTCGGAAAGATGGCAGCACATAAGCTAAAGCCAAGGTTCAATGCTGGAACAACTTACATTGAGGGGCCTCAGATGCGCCGCCGGCGTGCCCTGGTCGAAGCAGAAACCTGCGTTAATGATGTATGGGCTGCACAAATGACCGTCCGTTGCTTCCACTCTTTCGCCTAGTTTGTTCGAAGGTGCCTACATTTTCTACCCGGACTTCAAGTATGCGTGAGTTGGCATATCACAAGTGGTCCTGTGTTGCGGAGCCATTGAACAATAATAGTTTTTTCAACGACGTCGCTCATGACCACTTTCGATTGGTTTTTGGCGGGCAGTGGCAGCTGGATGCTTGCCATGCTAAGAGGACATTGAGTACTGGAGCTGGCAAGGGCTGCACGCGGTTCTTTGGAGAGAGAAAACAGGCTGACCCGCATTCCCAGCAAACTTCTGCACTCCGACAACAATGCATGATGCAGTGTGTTGACCTATTTGGAAGTCAGGTCTGGCAGCTTTCAGCCGGTGGGTGCGACTCTGTCCCGACCTCAATGTTTTGCTGTGGGCAACAGATCATCTTCTTTGCCTAGGCAGTTTCAACTCCACCCGCTGGCGGCCTGTGATTTGTGTACACTGATAAACCAGGCCTTGTTCGTGGAAGTGGCTGACCATGCCAGACGTTTCACCAGTCCAGTTAGGTTCTTTTGGCAGTATTTTGGCTTAGCGCTATCCTGCTGCGGCAATGAGCGCAAAATTGTGTGTTTCACCGTAAAAGGCGGGTGTGCGCCTCCGGGACGGCAGACGGTGGTTTGCTCAACGCGCAAGTTAGCTGTAGTTATGTGGGTCATGCTGCAAGACGGTTGGAGTTTCAGCTCAAACGTGACCTGCCAGAGCCAAAACGTAACACGGGTGCAAGCAAACTAGGCATCTTGGAGCTAGTTGAAGGGCATTTGCAAAAGTTGCACCTTGCGCGGGTAGAAAGATACAACCGCTCTGGTCACTGAGCCACTTGCAGAATCATGAAGATCTGCGCTGCTGCATTGATTGCACACTGCGTGGCGATTCCTGTCACCTTCAAGGTTCAGACCGGCAGCGGGGTTTGGGGGCTTGCAGGCTTGCAGCTCGACAACAGCTAGTTGGAATCTGGATCGGTACTGGCTTAGCACCATTGCGCAGAGTTCACCTGCCAACTGGTCATGAAATCTGTCGAACAAACGCTCGGGGTGTGTTTTCTTGTATAACACCCCGAATCTGAAATGTGCTTTCAGTATTGATACGCTGAAGGCAGTAGTCGGCGGTTTGTTCTGCAGCCCGGGAAATGCTTCAAACTTTCTAAGAGAAGCATTGATGTTCAGACAATGCAGCCGTGTCAGCAAGACCGGTATTGGGAGAAACGTTGATTTTTTGCGTGTTGTTCAGATTCAGGATATCATGCGAGGCATGGCTTGAGATCGAAATGCTTTGGATCTTATGATCAGATGACAGGGGGTCTGCATGAGAGTTCTGAATGATTGCTTGTTTCAAATCCAGTGCCAGAAGGTGATGAAACGCACGAGACAGGTACAGAAAGCATCTGCAAGTGTAGCATCTTATTTGTCGGCATTCGTCGCTGTTTGTTGAATTGACACTTTCTCCACTTCCCTTCACTGACTTGCAATTCTGCCATTGTTGCCTATTTTCTCCGACGGGGCGTCCTTGTGGGCAGGCATGTATTCTCACCGACTGATGTGTCATAATCCGCCGTGAGTACTGTAGGGCTGAAGTGGGAGCCGTGCCTCAGCACATTCAAGCCATACGTTGTTGACATCAGAGGGAGCCGACCTTGCGGGATCTGGTAAGGCGTTTTCATCAAGTCATTGGAGCTTTTAGCCCGAACTTGCTTCGCTTCTTTGCTGGCTGCAGCTTGGCATGGCAAAATGCGACAAGAAATTCTGTGGTGGCGCCATTGCAGGTTGGGTTTGGCGGCCATCCGATCAGTGCTGAAGGACCACACTTGGCTGGAAGCTTTCAAGCCTGGAGCCCATCAGCAACGGTGCCTCGGCAGAAGCTTTTGCAAGGGTCGCTGAGTTCGGTAACCAAGTGGACAGGCGGTGGTTGCGGTTGTGAGAGTGTTGTGGGCAGTGGTGATGTTGGTTGAGGGGCAAGAGTCAGCAAGAGCCTGTGTGCGCTTGGATTTTGCATAGGGGAGGCAGGAATCCAAGCCATCAGTTTCAACAGCCGGTTCGTCGTAAGGTCAGGGATGGAAATCAGGCTAGAGCTTGGGGTCCCCTAGCCTTCTCATAGCTACATAGACCAATAACACTCAGCCGAAGCCCTCAGCCCCTACAGTCGAAGACAAGTCGAAGTCTAAGACCTGAGGCTTACGCGCTTGCATGCGCTTCGTTTGCGGCTCCATAGGTACCAATAGCGAACCTCTGGGCTTGATTGAAGCCCTCAAACCTACACTGCGTGCACAGTCTGTTCTGGGGTGGTCTGAAAGGCCGTGGCAACGTGGCAGCATCCCGGGCTCACCACAGAGAGACTCAACACTGGAGCACACCTAAAGACCAAGCAGACGACACGGGATTTTCATCTAGACTCTTGGTCCTAGATTGTCTCCAGTGCCCAGTTCGTCATTTGTACACTGTCGAAACAGGCACTAGAACCCATCGCTTCAAAGCAGCAAGCAGGACTCAGGCTCTACATGTTATGGACATGCTCTCTCAAAACCTCGAAGCAGAACATACGCAGACAAAGACTTATCCATGTCAGGCTGGACGAGACGGAGACAAACATCCAGCATAAACTGGCCTCCTTGGAAAAGCGCAGTCTGTGTTGACTTCCTGAGCAGGCGCTGTCAGATGAGAATATGGATGGCATCTACGTGCCTCAGCTCGGGGCGGCATTTTGCCGTAAGTCAGTAGCATGAAGGTGGCAATGGATGAGAGGGCTAGCACTGAAAGTTCTGTGGAATCACTTGGGAGAGCTCCATAATCATGATTAATAGTTCTTCTCAGACAGCCCAAGGAGGTCACGATGGATTTGCCCCCTGCTTCTTACCAGAGTCTCCTCTGCAAATGATTCCGTTCAAGTTGGGGCCAGAGCAACCCGGCAGTTTCAGGATGATTTAAGATGTCAGTCGCGCTCAGGTTCAAATTCATAAATGGCAACACATGGGAGCAAGCAGAGACCGTGCCATCGAGTTGCAGTGAGACAGCAGCCCGGTCGATATTAACAGGAGATGCGTTTGGTTTTGTCCATGTCGTTATTACTCATGGCATTTACTTTCGGCTAGTGACTCTGTTTTCTGCTTTCTCCTACCGCTTGCTGCCTTCCATTTTCGGCCTCTGCGTTCTGCTCTCTGCTTCTAGCTTCCTACTTCTTGCTTTCTGTGTAATTGAGCTCTGATCGCTGGTGCCGCTACATTTGTAATTATCATATGTAAGATATCCTTTAAAACTGGCAACCGTGCTACAACTTCCCATTGGTGCTGCGCCTGCTATGCTTTTACTACTCATTCTCTGCTATTGCCATTCTCTTTACACTTATGACGACTACTGTTATCACCACTCGCATTGTTGCTACTCTTATTCAGACTGTTAAGGATCAGCATTCTTTCCGTGACGAGCAGTGTTGCTACTGTTATGTTGTCAAATGCTGCTGCTGCTACTACTACTACTACTACTACTACTACGACGACGACGACGACGACGACGACGACGACGACGACGACGGCGACAACGACGATGACGACGACGATGACGACGACGATGGCGACCACTGCTACTACCACAGCTACTATTAGTGCTGTAATTTAGAGAATTCGTCTTGAATATTGCCCTCACTCATAAATTCCTATTGGTCCGCTATCCTTGCTGCGATCATTACTCGTACTGCTATGACGACGACCGTTGGTTTTTGTACTAGTACTATGCCAGTACTGTTAAAGACCAGTGTTACTTGTGCTGTCGTGGTTGTTTCTGACTTTAGTACTGTTGCAGTCAATGCCGATCTTGCTGTTTTCAGTATTCGTGCTACGTATCATTGCAGTACAGCCACTACTGGCATGTCCCCTAAGGTTTCATGCATCCTGTTGCTGTTCTTCCTGTAACAACAACTACAACTACCTATACTGCGACTGCTACTACTACTACTTCTTCTTCTGCCGTTCCTTTTTTTCCCTGTGGGGTTCGCATGGGACCCATCTTGTTGAGAATCAGTCGAGCCTGTGTGGGGAGCATCCTGCTGAGCCTCTGATCTGCTACATTATTTCTTTGCTCGCAATGCTAAGGCCTAAATTAGCAATCATGGTCATCATGATCAATGGCAGTTCCCTGGGGCCTTTAATTCTACCATGACTGCCAACATGGCCATTATCATTGAAGTAGCAAAGAAAGGCTGTACATATCAATTGAGCCGCATTTTTCCCTTTTGAGTTTATAAGTAGTTGGCAACACAAGGTTCGAGTTTAACCACCCAAAAGTGCGCGGGACTGTGGTCGCAGAAGGTCTGCGGAAGGGGATGGCTTCGGGGAACGCTGCTTGAACTGCCAGTAAACTCTCACGAGTTGGGAGGTTGAAGCGTCAGGCTTGCCGAGGGAACTTTGCAGAAGCTCGGCGGAAGCTTCGCGGAAGGCCGGAGGCCTGTCTGAAGTCATGCAGATGCGCGCCAAGAGCAAGCAACAACATCAATCAAATCCATGTCAGCGTCCGTATCTCTTAGTATTATAGTGCTCAATGATGAGCAGCAGCTTTCCAGGGAGGACTCACTTCGCGGAAGCGAAATGTTTCGCGGAAGGCATGCGGAAGCCGACATGTAGATGTCAAATGTTGACTGAGTTGACTGATGCTCTGGGCCGCGGAAAGATGAGAAATGGTTTTCAAGGGTGTTTTGCGCCATTAGGGTTCTTAGGAACAGAAGACAACGCATGACAACGCTCAGTTTTAAATCAGAGGCCTAGTGGATGCTTGCCTGATAGGCTTAACATTTTGTCTAATTAAGATGGGACCCTGCAAAACGCAGCAATCAGCGCGTGATTTTGGAAGTTGAAACCGGAGCGGCTGTTGACATTCACCATGATGACCATCATTGTTGTCATAAGTGTGAACATTAAGTGAAAGCGCACATACTGTAAATATTAGCGAATCAAAGGCCTAGTAGGGTACTGAAGACGCACTTGCTATTTTTTCTATGGCTTCTTGCTGAAAAAACACAACATCAAACAAGAGCGGAGCGCGTGATACTAGTAATTACTACGACCCCTACTGTTGCTGTTACGCTAGTCTGCTCATCACTAGATAACAATTTTCGCAGGTGCGCATGGGAGGAGGGGCTTCCCCAAGAACCCTGCCGCATGTAGGGGGAGGATTTCTGACAAGCATCAAATGGGGTGAAATGTAATATTTGAGGCCTCCAGGAAGTGCAGAAAGGTAGGCTTTGCTGAGAACACGAACCAAGCCGCAGCTAAACAGCGCGGAAACTCGAAACTAAGTTGAGGCCCATCTGAACATTTGCCAGTGCTGTAGGGCAACAGTGAAAGAGCAAGTGGTTGTTAGTGATTGCTCATTCGTGTTGGATATTGAAGGGTCTAACAGGGAGCGTGGCATCACCCTGAAGCTGCAAGGAGTCTGGAAATGCGAACCGCGCCTTCGTTGTTGAAGAGGCTGCAGTATTTTCCGAGGTGAACGTTTGCTTTCAGGAACCTCGGCAAACATTGGGCAAAACATGACGTGCACTTGAACCAGCTTTTGTTGACACACCACTTTTTGCATCGACAAACCAGCCGGGCGAGGCATTGCATAAAGCAAATCTCTTGAATTGATTTGGGCAGGGCTCAGACCATAAGAATAGCTGGTTTGAAGGTGACTGAACAATGCCGCTCCGTCACATTATGTTCAGTATTTCTACTGGAAAATAAGCTGGGGCTAAGGACGACTTAAGCTGTTTGGTAACCCCATGCCTCCCGCTGCCATCCGCTGCGTGCTTGCATGGTTCGCAAAGGAGTGTCAGCCATGCACCGGGCTCTCGGCATGTGCCACGGCTGATGATCACTCTTGCACGAGTTGGCAACTTAAGAGCCTCCGGCTCAGTCCGCCGACCCAGTGGCGGAGAAAGCACGAAAGCCTAAACGCGAAACCTTGAGGGTTTTCAGCCGCTGGCACGAGACCAATAGATAGGCGCAACA